GTAAGCTTACAAAATGATGACTCTACAAAAAAATTGTGCGGCTTGCTTGGATTGGTATTGACCTTCTCAGTTTCATTATGCCTCTTAAGACTGACTATATAAATATAAATAATAAAAAAATGAATAATAAGAAACTTGATTGAAAACAATTATATAATTTCTTATGTAAGTAGGCATATTTGATTTTTATCACTCTCTTGTTGCTTTATGATGTTATACCCGCATGTAGTAATCATCTTTATTTGTTGTTCATATTGTCTGACTCATTTCCTTTGTCGTTCATGCTTTAATAATTAGCGGTTATTTGTTGAGTTTTCTCATCATACTCACTCGTTGATATCTTCGCATAACCGCTTCTATTCAGCCACTACTATGATCGTTTTCACTGGAGTAGGTTTTTAGTTCTAGATTTCTTGTTTTAGTATCTTTCAGTATGTACTCTAGTTATTGTATTTTTCCTTTTGGGGTTTGGGTAATCGTTGCTTCTTTTTGTTATTTTAGTTTTGATTAGGTCATTTTTCTTTTTTCCTTTTAGTTGTACTAGTTGATTATTTATTATAGAATAACATTTATATTTCATAGTTTATTCATATTGCTATTTGCATACAATTTTTCTTTTTAAAATATAAAACATGTTCAATTTATTTTATCATGTCTTATATTTGTCAAGGTGTACTGTTTTGTCAAGGTGTACTGCTTTCAGACCCGTGGTGTATCAATCGAAGCATATAATCAATAAAACTTATATCATGTAATGGATTTAAAAATTCAAAGATATTTTCTACAAACTTCTCATATAAGTAGATACAATTAATATATGAGCCGAAAAATAAAGAGAATTTGTATCTATTTACAAATCTAAATGATATTAAAAAATGCATAGAAAAATCTATTTGTTGCAATTTTTTTCAAATAAAGTCATGAATGTCCAAAAGCTTTCACAAAACATAGTTAACTCATTGAATTCTAATATGGATGTCACAACTTGGGTCTAAAAATTGATGCATCGCGGCTGCATGAGGCAAGATTAAAAAAAAAATACTATTTTGTACTCGAGAAAAACTTCATTCATATGAAATTATGAATAATAATATATTAGCACGTGCAAAAGAAAAAAAACTTAAATCAATAAAAATTATAATGGCACTTAAAAAATAGGAGAAAACATTTATTAAAAAAATTGAATAAGCACTTGTATATTTAAAATTACTTATACTCAAAAGAAATACAATACCTAAAAGTAAGAATACTCAAAATAAGTCTAATATTGAAATATCTTCTCTTATGGCAATGATCAACCAAAAAGATAGACAAATCTTGCTATTAAAAAGGGAAATTTACAGACATACCAGAAAATTCTTAAGCATATACATATCTAACGTTCAAATTTTGTTTTTACACTATAACACCTCGTTGTCAAAAACCTTTGTATGAAAATATATATTGTACTTTTAAAATTTAGTGATGCTAGTACTTTTTAAGTGACGTTGAAGATTTGAGTGGTTTACATATAATGACAGAGGACCAAAATGCCCCTCCCTTAGAGGCTATAAATACACTCCATCTCTTTATTTTAGGTTAAAAGAAAAGAAAAAAGATCTCTAGATTTTGTTATGTACTGAAGACCCGACAATAACTATCGGCCCCGAAAGTCGCCAATCACCATTGAACACTACCCTTCAGCCACCATCGACCACAGTCGACCACCCATACTCGTCATCATCTGTGGCCCCTGCTTGCTAATAACTTATCCCAAATATGATTGTATTGCCATAATGATTGAAGATGGCCCAGAACTATGGGTAGAAAGACAAGTGAAGACTAAAGAAAAATTGGTCTTTATAGAAAATGAGGTCAGCGCCGAACAGGGAAGTAACCCAGTCATGCTAACCATTGGCCTAAAGCTTAACGATGGGATCCAATAAATATGTCTCTTGCAACCAATCCAGCTTGCCCGGAGTCATCCCCGATCTATTATTAAAAATGACCGACCCAAAAGACATTGAAGAATAATTTGAAGCCAACAAGCTGAGCATAAAAAATGAGAACAAAAATAAGCAAGGAGAAAAGACATAGTAAAAGCATAACATCATTAAACCCCTCACTTTTATATATAGATAAATAGAAGAAGTGAAACCATCACACAAGGGTAAAAACAGAATTCTGCAGTAATTTTAAAATCACATTGATAGAAAGATCACATCAACATAAAAAATGAGATAGAAAAATAAATTCCATTCTAAAAATAGACATTATAAATAACAAGAAGCACTTAGAAACCAACCCGAAAGGAAAACTTTTATAAGGGGGTCAGTCACTACTCCAGCCGTAGCATACCCTAGTTGAAGCATTCTCTTATATAAAATCTCTCCCCCAAACTTAAGTTAATTCATCCAATTTTTCTCATCTTGAGCTTGAAATATGAGAGATCTTTGGCCGACATTCAATAGTTCTTGGCAAAGAGTGACAATCTCCTCCTTCATCCTCTCCACTTTCTCCATGAGAGCAATCATCTCACGTATCTCCTCAACTTGATGGATCCCGACCGACCTAGCGAAGTAGTACTTGATCTCGTCCAAGCAGTGAGCCAATAATCTGGGAGACATCCAATTTCCATTAGCCGCTTCCCCGCGGGTCTCAAGAAGATTGTCTGGGTAGTCAACCCCACTAACCTTGATCGAGAGTCGATCGGCCTCAACTAACATCTAGGCAATTTGACACCGCAGTTGGGTTCTCACCTATGTTTGTAGGAGGCGAGTTATCATCAAAACTATCAGAGCCAGGTTGTCTGTACTAAGAGGCAGTAAAAAGGAAACGTAAAGGAATGGGTCTTAAAAAAAAGTCAAAATCAAATATTAAGACCGAGACTCCTCATACCAAGGAGTTGATCCAACTTAAATTCTATAAACTACATAGTGCACTCACTGTGCGGCGGTAGAGCACTAACAATTTCTTTTGTGTTCTATTTGATCGATGAGTCACGTGCCACAACTGAAGGTTGAGTCAACAGATTGATGGTTGGTCCGGTCGCATGAGTGTTCCTCCACTTAGTGCTAAGGAATGAATCAAACGACCCCACCTGATCTGCCAGTGCAACCACTTTTTTTTTCTTAATGAATTTCTTCTTCCGTTCCTCCGGGCGGTACTGCTTCTTCAACCTTTCGATGGAAACATGAAACATATTTGTGCTAGGGATATCACAGTGAGGATTTGACCCATTCTCCGTTACAACATTCTTAAGCTAATCGATTCAAATAAAAAGGGCCACAAAGAAAATATGGAACGTGAAAAGCCTCGTCACTCTTTATTTATAAGGATCTAAGGAGTAAAATCATTGGAATTCAATTATTGAATCATTGATTAATAATAAATGCGATTATTTTTTTGTATTAAATTCTTTTATTCTTATCGCAACGTTGCTTTCAAGAAGTAAGACAATAAAAAAATTAATAATAAAAATGTGCCAACATTGATCCTGATGAGATCTAAAGGTCCAAAAGAAAAGAGTGTGATGAAAGAAGACCAACCAATAGAAGACCATGAGGTCCACTTGTCCGACCGAATAAAATTATATGAGTTAAAGCCCTTAATGCCAAAGTTGACTGAACCACGAGACATACTAAAGTTGACCGTATGATACCGAAACGAGCCATTCAGATAAAAACAAGGTAAAAGAACATCCAAACCAATTATCATAGAAGGGCCAATCAAAGGAAGATCTAGTTTCTTAATATCTCCAGCGACCCTAGAGACATCCAAAAGTCCCTCGTCAAGGGTCAATGATGGACAACCGACCATATCAATTGGGCGTATCATACTAACCAAACTCAGCCGACCGAGCTGATCCCATCCAAACGAGGGGATTTTAGCTGACCGAGCTGATCATGCTGACTAGAAGCAAGTTGAGTTTAGCGGGCCAACCCAAGGAGCAACTAAACAATCAATTCATGCATGTAAAATACCAAGAATACCCCGTACATCCTCTTTTAAAGCATGAGCAAAAATATAACATTATCAGATTGCACCCTCTCCCCTATAAATAATATTAACATTTTATGAGTAAAACACAATTGACAAAATGTATTACTATTTTCTCCCTTCATCTCTTCTTACACATGCTCTATTCTTCTGGTGTGATTCACAGACAAATTAAGATTCAACAATTATTTATATAATGAGTGACCGACAGAGTAAGGACAAAACCATGATGTTGTTAAGCCAAAATGGAGACCCGCCATTGGGTAGCCCCTGCTAAAAGTCAACCACAACACGATCCAAATTAATCATTTTTTATATGACAAAACAAATGACCCACGTGATAATTACTAAAAATAAAATTATGTTATCAAATACAGTTCATTTTAAGAATATAAGATAAAAACACATAAAAAATTTTAAAAGAATAGAAATAGTTCCAAACATTCCTCACCAACGGGAAAAAATATTACATCAGTACTACGCACGTAGAGTAACGTGCGTACCCAATGAAATCACGCCACGATACCCCGCGCGACGCAGAAAAAAAAACGGCGCAGTAACACGGGGAATATTCTCCCCCGTGTTATTCATGTGTTATTGTGTGTTATTCATGTGTTATTGTATCCTGAGAATATTCTTGGTGTTATAATAACACAATAACACATCAATAACACATGAATAACATGCAATAACACATGAATAACGCACAATAACACATGAATACAGGAGGGAATATTCTCCGTGTTACTGCGCAGTTTTTCTTACTCCGCCACGCGAGATGTCGTGACGTGTTTTGATTGGCTACGCACTTAAAAATAATATTTCTTCCACCAAGGGAGGTTAGTATCAATTGAGGGGAGTTGAAACGGATGGATAGTTGATCGGATTAACCACTCATGCAGCTCCCAGTGGCATGCGGCTTCGTCAACTCTGCTCCCCGCTTTCTGTCATCCATCCCCATCATTTCGGAGAGGAAGAGGAGCTGGGTAGCCTGCGTTAATGGTCGACTTGATGGAAGAAGCTCCGACCCGAATCTAGATGCCGCAATCAGAGCGGCTTGCATACGCTTCGAGGAGTCTCTGCGTCTCGGTACTTTTCCTTTGTTTCTTATCTTGTTATGCACAAAACCTATTCGACGAAAGAAGACATTGTGCGAACTCTCTTTTCTGTTGCATCATACCCTGCAAATTCGTTTGAATTGTTGGCGATGAAAATTTGCTTGTAATCATAATTAAAAGATATAAAGGAAAATTTTTAATAGAATGAAAGAACGCAATCCATAGAAAGATTGATTAGATATTCGACCATAGACAGTGTCCCTTCCGTGTGGGTTTCACTGCCGCTATTACTGCCTCTCTTTTAGCCTTATCCGTCGGCATGAAGATTAATTATCCGATTTTTGATGTCTGTTGCAGGTTATTTTTACTATACATATGCGTATACTGTATGATATTTGTGTTGGGAATTATCGGAGGTTTGAGCTAGAAACGTCCTTTTTTTTTTTTCACTAATTTGAAAGTTTAGAAGTTCTGGTGTAGGGTATTTTGATCTTACTAACTTCTGAGGCAGCAGGCATGTAGTGATTAAAACTTTGTATGTCAAAATTCAATCTTGTGTTTTGCATTTCGGATGTTTGATTCCTTCGGAGTAAAATACAAGTGTAACCAGTGTCTTCAAGGGTGCAACACGTGCTTTGGTACAAGCCTGCACTTGACAGTAAGTGATTCTCAAGCTCAACACATCTCTTCGTTTCACTCCTAAAACATGCTTTTAGTAACAAATGTATGACTATTTAATTCGTGGAATAATCATCTACAAATAGTGGCATAAGGCTTGAATTAGGGTGTCAAAAATTGATTCGGCATGCCAAATCTTCCTGAACTCAACTTGAAAAATCCAGATTCGTGTTGGATCTAATAATTTTTGTGGTACGAGGTCAGATTAGAAATCCTAGCCTATTTAATTTTTCAGGCCAGGTTTAAGTTGACTTGCCAATCCAAAATTACCCCCAAAAGGACTTGCTAACCCGAGATGGACTGAAATTTGAGCTGCAAACCTGAAAATGACCTGAGATTGATTTGAAATTGACTTGAATTTGACCTGACTAACTATTAAGTGTTATGTTAAATGGGTTATATAGGCTGTGCTCGAGTTAGCGGGTTGAAGGAAGGTCAATTTCTGATTGAACTTTCTGAACCATTTAATATTCGGGTCGGCTTTGAGTCAAGCAATTTCAGGAAGGGTTAATTTTGGGTCTGACTTAAATCCAATTTGACGCTCATAGCGTGAATCTTCTTCTCTTTGGAATTCATTTGTTTTTTACTTTCTTTAAATATTTTGTTATTAACTTTATTGCAGGCATTGATTTTGATCAAATTTAGCAATTGATCTCATGCTCCGACTTAGGAGCTTGCCATACCAATGCAAGAATAAATTGTTAAATCAAGTATTTAAGTGCGTCTTCTATCAATACATAATATTAAATTAATTGCTCATTATTTTCTTAAATAACAACTTTTGATACCAAGGAGTCACTAAATCACAAAAGTCCATCAATACTTTTTTAAAAAAAGAGCTACTATATTTACTTCAATATGCAAAATTTTTAAATACCTATTACTTGCAGATTCACATTTGTGTTTCAGAAACTTCCTTCTTTGACTTATTCATAATATAAAATCATTTCATAGGAATATTAATAGTGTTAGTTATAAATGCAACTCAATAGGTATGTTATAGTTCTAACTCATAGTATTGTCATTTTGTTTTTATTTGTCAATATTCTTAAATTTGTGAGATTTATGGAGTATAAATCATGTAAATTTGTTGCATCTAACCGTATGGTTTTTGTGTTATGACTGTGATCGAGTTTGAATTATGTAAATTTCTTGCATTTAACCAAATGGTTTTGAATATCTCACAGATGTAAACTTTTTGGTCTAGTGACTATTTCTAATATTTACTGAATTGTTCAAGCGGCAGATCCTCTTTTTATCGATCCATATGCTGAATGTTTGGTTTCTTCTGAGGCTGGTAGATCTGGCATGAAGAAGCAACAACTAGCCTCAGTATCATCGACATTATATTACAGGCTAGCAACTAAGTTCATTGATGACAAAATACTTGATGAGATTAGCAGCTTACAGGAGCTGAGGCAGGTTTAGTGCTTGATCTTAAATCTTCATTATTTCTGGTGAATTATGTAGTAAATTAACTTATGCCTTGTAGGTTGTTCTTTTGACAGATGGAATGGACACCCGTCCGTATAGGTTGAACTGGCCACGATCTACGGTCATTTATGATATATCTCCTGAAGCTGTTTTCAAAGAAGCATGTGGGAAACTTCAGGGTATGTGTTAACTTTCTTGAATAAATTCAAATCGAAATTGTAGGATCAGAGAAATGAGATCTATTGTAAATAGATAGTTTTGTGTTATTTCTAAAATTAATGATTAAATTAATAAAATTTGGATACCTATTGAAAGTGAAAAGTAAGGTGTACTGTTTATTTCATAGAATCACACAAACGAGCCTTTTGTGTTTTCATCTGAAATTCTGCAGTGCTGCCTAGTATAAAATTCTTTGTTGTTCTTAGTTCTTCTGCATTGAAGTATCTTCTTGGACTTGATTTGAGTCATCTACTTAGCTAGTGAAGAGGGCTATTGTTTTGTGAACTGCATACTCTATGTGAACTTTTTTCAGTTCTTTTCAGTTGGGACCATATCTATAAAAGCTAGTGTATATATTGTGATATTTCTTGCATAAAACATCGATAAATGTTTTATAGATCAATATCTAAAAATGTTGTTACAAAAGGGAAGTTATGAAACAAAAATGAAGTGCTTAGACCCCTATGATACATTCTCGAAGTTTGAATCCAGTGAAAAGCAATGAAAGATTGAAGTAAGAGTCCCTATGGTAAAATTATAGGAGTAACACTTTATTGCAAAACTTTGATTCTGGAAGCTGAATTCTTTTAGGTTTAAAAAATATCTTGAAGAAATTATAAATCTGATGGTGAAAGTTGGAATTCAATTTTTTTAGGACAAGCTAGTCAATGGCTGGAAAAAACCTGATCATACTTTTCTTAGCTCACCTTTCCCCTTTGTTTGACCTGAGTGGAGGGAGGAGGCATCAATGGTAACTAGGGTGTTTACATTGATAGCCATAAATTGGGGGGTCAAGAGGAATATACCATCTCCTTGCTCTCATTATGTTTCCTTAAGCTTAAAAAGTGGTGCTGAAGGTTGGATAACTTGAGATTTGGCGTTTCCACCTCTTTGAATAAAATCTAAAAATCCTTCCTTCAAACTCCTCCATTAAGGTCAAAAACAAGTGAAAAGCCTCCTATAGGACCTTTCCTTGTATTCCCTTTGGGTTATTAGATGTTCTAGAATCTTTGGTGACGCTCAGAATGGTTGGTGGTGGAGCTAGCTATAGTCAATGGAATAACATGATACAGACAAAAGAAAAAAAAGGATATAGATGGGTTAAGTTTCTTAGCTTATAAATAGGAGAATTTACTCAACCCGTTAAAGTATCCATTAGCAAGTGAGAGAGGAAGAGAGAAAAGGAGAGGAAACCTAGTTGAAAGAAGCAGAGGGAATAATGAAAAAAAAGAGTAAAAAATAAAAGTTCAAAGCTCCAGAAAAATCAATAAAATCTGTTTCACACACCGTTCGATGAAATCAACTTCTTTTGATCCATTTTGAAGTTTATTCTGTTTTTTTTTCTCAATTTTAATTTATCTATCATCATTATCATCACCAGAATATTATTCTTTAGAAGTTTTGGAGGTTTCTCTGCTCTTTGTGCTTACTTTAGTCTCTAGGGTTTATTTGGCCTTTAAGATCCCATTGGTCTCTAAACTTATGGACTTGTCCTTTATAGGACATTTTTGGTAGCTTTAAAAGGTCAGTGAAGTGCAGTATGATTCCTATAACTAACCTACAAAGAGAATCATCAAGCACATGTTTTACTAAATTATTTAATATCTAGAGCACTGGAATCTTAGGAGAAATTCTCCATGTGGTCATTATCAAGGAACACTACAAGATATTCTTTTTGAAGGACTTCTAAGTTCTTTCATTTTAATTGTCTTGTTTTTCATTTAGCGGGACATTTCATCAACCTCATCTATTACTCAACAAATTTAGCTTGTAAATTTTTAAAGCTTTTTTTTCACTTGTAGCCAAAATAAATTTATTGTTAAATACCCCATGCTCAATTCATTGCACATGATATTCTTTAAAATACCCATATTAACACATAAAGATTCATGGCAATATGATAATGCAAAAGCAACCACATATGCTCTATTGAATGCAGTTAACATGATAGTCTTATATGCAACTCACAATTAATGGTTGGTTTCAATTTTGAAGAAATATGGAAAGAAAGATTATTCTTCACAATGATGAATTACTCCCTATTATATGTAATAGAGTAACCGACATACCGGTCTACAAAATAGAAAACTAGAATCTCTTTAAATTAGGAATCTCACCAAAATAGGAAAACAAAAAATAGGATTATCTAATAAGTAAAAAAAAAATGAATATCTTTTGAATAAAGGAAATAAATTCCTTCCTTATGGAGCTCAAAGGTCAGTTACTTTCGACAATCCTGGGTTGTATATATCATACAAAACAAATTTAAAATTTAATTTATCATGACCCACCCTCAATAGTGCTTTGGTGAGAATATTAACAATTTGAAGTTTTGTTGGAACACAGCTTAGCTGAACAATTTTGTTAATTTTTTATTGATAAAGTGTTAGCCAATTTTGATATGTTTTGTTTTGTTATGTTCCACATAATTTTTCGTTAAACTAATAGCTGCTTGAGTATTACTAAATTATCTTACTTATTTCATTTCTCTCAATCTTAAGTTCCCTTCATAGTCTTTGAAGTTACATTCTTTCACATACTTCTAATGCAATAGCAAGATATTCAAATTCTGCACCACTCCGGGAGACACCGACGTGCTTTTTGCTTCTCTAAGTGTCGAGAATGCCTAGACGTATGAATATTCCTATCAATTACCTTTCAATCCTAGCCACCTCCTTTGTATATCCCAATCTCACAATTTTCAGATATTTTAAAGAGCAAATCATATCTAGGACTCATCTTCAAGTATCTCAAAATTTTTTTTAGTGCTTCTAAATGCTCTTTATTTGGATTTATTCATGTGATGAATTAATTACTACACTAATTAAATATGCAAAATGAGATCTTGTGTGTTATAGGTAGATTATCTTACCCATAAAACTTTGATATATTCCTTTGTTAACTGGACAACTTCATTTTTTTTAGTTTTTTTGTTAGAATTCATGGGTGTGTAGCAAGTTTATAGCCAAGCATATTAGTTTCCCTTAACAGGTCTAGGCTGCACTTTTTGTGGGATATGACAATTCCCTTCTTAGATCGAGCTACCTCTTTTACTGGGAAGTATGGGAGAGTCTTAAGGTCCTTGAGCTCAAATTATATTGCAAGCATAATTTTTTATTTGATAATTGTTAAGATAATATCTACTTATACTATGCGAGTAATAATTTTATCTCTAGGTTGTTATTTAAAAAATAGTGTATGATAAGTTTGACACTAATGATATACAGTTGTAATCACGATATTAACAACCTTCTCAAACTAAGTACGAGGAGATTGCTTCAAGTCATATAAGGATTTCTTCAACTTACAAATCAACCTATTGTTCGTTATATTTTTCAAACTCGGAGTTATAATCATGTAGACATCTTCATCATGGTTCCCATTCAAGGATGTATTTTTGACATCAAGTTGGTATTAAGACTAGTATTTATTTACTGCAAGAGTGAGTAAAACCCGAATAGTATTAAGCTTGACAACAGTCGCAAATTTTTCGTAGCAGTCAATCCCATTTGACTGCATGAAGCTCTTGGCTACCAGTCTTGCTTTGAACCTCTTTACACTTTCATCCCCTTCGTATTTGACAGTGAATCTCCATTTGCACCCAACAAGATTTTTTTTTTCATGAGGTAAGTTTATAGGTGTCCATGTTTTATTATTTTCTATAGCCCAATTTTTTTTTCTCAAATACTTATTTCTACACTATAACTTTTAGAGCCTCTTGGTTAGAGTTGGGAACTTGCGTAATCAAGGTTTTTCAACAAAGTTTTGGTAGCAACTTCTCATATTATGCGTATCTTTCGATTGGATGCGTTGTGCACCTTCAAACACCTCCCTTGTGTGCAATTGGTTAATTGAAATCATCAACCAACAATACAAGAGAGTTATGAGATAAGGAATCAATACCATTATAATTATTAGATGTTGGAGGATTTGGTTTCGGGTCTACATTGTGTCATTTACATTATTATTTTGGTATATACTTGAAGTTCTTGATCATTGGTGTCAAGTGAAGGTGGAGTAAAGACAATTGAGAAATAACAGTTAAGATTATTTCAGTGATAGAGTTTGGTTCTTGAAGTGGAGCTGGTTGAGTGATAGGATTTGGTTCGGTTGGTTGAGTGGCAGGGTTTGATTCAGTTGAAGGAAAAATGGCCCGAGTATCTTGGAGAATGTGTTGAATTTAATCTTCCATCGTGTTCTTTTCCTGAATTTTGAAACTATGAAAAGTACGATTAATTATCAAAGAGGGTGGCATCTATGGGGTTGTATATTTATTTAGTGATTGGAGATCAGCTTTTGTATTCTTTTCATTGAAGGAGTAACATAGGAAGTTTCATCTAAGATAATTGTGATCAAGTTTGGTGTAGTGTTGTTGGTGGATGTGAATAAAGGTGGAACTAAAAAAAACCTTGAATGATAAATCAGAAAAAAAGAGTTGATATGTGGATAGAATTCTATGAGAACATTATGAGAAATTTTTAATTTTAGAACTCAACTGGTATTCTATTGATGAGATGTGGCTGTGAGTGGCTTCCCCCCAAAAGTGTTTAAGTACATGATTAAGAACATTATGACATGCTCACCTAAAGTAATTGTCAATTCTTTCTCTTAGTGATCCTCTTTTGTTAGAGAGTATCCACATAAGAAATTATATGAATGATATGATATTTGAAAACATGAGGACTAAGAATGGAATTAAAATATTCTTTAGTATTATATGGAATAAATTTAGAACTAGAAATTAAATTGAAAAAAATTGAACTAGATTCCGAAATATAACTTGACGAATGAATTTTTCTACCAATGAAATTATTTTCTTTGATCAAATATAGACCACCGTGCATTTTAGTGCTAACAATTATTTTCCCGTAATTGACTACTTGAAAGTCATAAGGATTGTAATAGAATTTAGTCACAAATTTTAAGTCATGAGTATGTTTGTTTATTGAGAGTAAATTAC